AAATCGATGTTTAAAATTTCAGACATAAAGCTGACAAAAAAGTTGATAGTTTTTTTTACATACTTCATTCATGCAGATTTTGTAAACAATGCGGAATTTCATGCAGAAATTTTAATCGAAGAATCTTTGAGCAAAAACAAAATATATTCCAGAAAATCAAACATGCAGCTCGCTTTATTAATTGATGTGTTTTCTATCCGCGAATAATAGTGCCCATAGTTAAAGGACGAAAATCGGGTCGAAATGATTTTTCTTCCTTTGAAGTTATGTATTCATTGACCCTTTTTTGGGCTATTCCATAAATAAAGAGCTGCCAATCAGGCACACGACATTTAATCGAACTAAGTGGGTACAATGTCTATTGATCATACCGGGGAGTAAAAGACGCTTCTCTCCAACTGCGCTCATATTATTCTGGACCAAGTGTGCAAAAAGTCAGAAAAAATTTGCTCCTCAAAAATGGCCATTTTTTGATTTTGGAATTTTTTTCGTTTCTTTTACTTTCGAAACGGACTCAAATCGACTAATTACTTTCAGATAATACTTTCAGATAAGTTTCAGCATTTTTTGATGCACATTATTCTTCCGACTGGATCGAATATTGAAAAAGTCCCCAAAATTGGGGGGTAGTTGCCCCCCAGCCGATTTTTTATGATTGGCTTGAATCGATTTTATTCTTTTTTGCTCTAAGCTATTGAGAAAGGTCCATTCTACACTATCAGTGACAACACTGTGCTCGAATAACATTTTTATCCATTTTGTGGCATTATCATTTTTGCCCCCCGCGAATTATGTTTTTTTCTCCAACTTTCAAAATTTTCCATCGTTGAAAAAAATATGATGCGCACAAACAAATGAAATACTCTTGACTGATTTTGACAATATTTGAATAGGCCTTTCAAATGACGTATCTGTCATTGATCTACTACAACGCAATCGCAAGTGGTGACATATATTCTAATTCCCTTTTTTAATGCATAAGCCCAATAGTTGTCTGACATAAAGCAAAAAAAAAGTTACTTGTTGGAGTGGCTCTTGGTCTAAAATAGATGCAATTCATTTTAAAAATGTAGTCCTGAAAGGTATTGGATAAAAAGTATTATACACTAAACAGACATTTTGATTGAAAAGAAATGAAAATTGTGATTAAAATTATTTTGGGAAATTCATTAACATATGTGTAAAAAGTCTTTAGAATAAATTCAGGCTTGTGCTACATAAACAAAATCAAAAATGTCAAGCAATGCATACAGGAGACTTAACGGGACTCATACTCTACTGTCAAACACAAACCATTCAATTATATTCATTCGCGATGGCATACAAATTGGATTTATGAAAAAGTGTCTCAAATGGTTTTGGCGAGCTAAGTTCAAAACAAATTCTGCATGTGTCTAAAATGTGTGGGTCGTATTCCCAATTTAAATTCTCAAACCCTTCAAAATTGTCATCAAGTACTGAAAACCGGATTGGTCAAGCAAAAATTCAGTTTTGGTGATTCTTATGGTTACAGCACATACAAATTTGAACCAAAACAATAGATTTGGACACGATCATTAGGAACCAGCAGAATATGAAACAAAAAAATTCCAAAGGTTGTCAAAAATTGACCGAATGACGACCACGATTGAATTCAGTAAACAAGTGATATACAGTGGCCTTGCATGGGGCTTCATCGCCAAAGACCAAATGAAGTTGATCAAAACACTGTTGTTGAGATACACCCAATCCAAAGTCGTAGTAAATTATCGCACGAAAATTTTCACGAGTAAAATTCATTTTTTTGTTGAGACGCAATTTAGATGTCACTGTAAACAATACAAATAGCGAGCGTATGACAGAACGTTCTGAGATCGTTTATTTTGGAAATTCATCATGTATTTATCAAGTATTTTGGAAATTCATCCAAAAACATAAGAGAAATATTTAATTTGGTGTCTTTTTGTAAAGTTGAAAAGATGGTCTTTTTTTCATGAAAATTCTATTTTTTGTGGTTTTTTCTGCTTGCAAAGATTTGTCTGTAATCAGATAAATCTTAACGAACTCAATCGATTTCAACAATATTTGGTTGATAACGGATGGTTAACATTACGTTACAGCACTACATTCATTTTAAATCCGTGAATCACGATATATGGTTTGAAAAGACTTTGGTTCATCTTTAAACACATGCAGAATTTGTTTTGAACTTAGCTTGCCAAAATCCATTTGAGACACTTTTTCGTAAATCCAATTTGTACGCCATCACGAATGGACATATGCTAATGGACATTTTTGTGTTTGACAGAAGAGTGGGAGTCTCGTTAAGTGTCCTATGTGCATTGCTTGACATTTTTGATTTTGTTTATGTAGCGCAATAAACGCCTGAATTTACTGTGTAGACTTTATGGACATATGATATATTATGTAACAAAAATTAATTATTTCTATTTTTTCGATAAAGAGGAAATACTTTAAATCATGAGAAAAAAATTCCCGAACTCAGTTTTACGCACTTTCGACACGGCAGATAAATAAACTGTTTTCAGACTGAAGGCTATCAGATGATGATAATTTATCACTAGAGGGTTAATTACGATAACTATTTGCTACTTACAAAATTATTTACGGGACCGTTCATTTTTCTTCTTTTGAGACTCGCCTATAAGCAGAAAAAAGAGAATTAAAGAAAAATTTCATTAGTGTTTTCATTTGTATTTTTTATTATTGAAGCATAATTGAAAACAAAAAAAAAACAAAAAATTAAAAAACTGAATTGAACGAACTCAAGAAAATTTGAGAGTAAGGAATTCGAACTTATATAACTCAAAATTTTATTTGATGATATTATATTCATGCCAAACAAAACGGGAGAGAAATGAATGAGTTGGTTGACATTTCTGGTTATATTATTTTTGAGATTATGAATAAAATCTGTTCTTTTTTTCTATGGATACAAAATTAAAAATGTACAACAACGCTTTTCTAACTTCGGTCAATAGATTCAATGCATTGTTCCTAATACTTCAAAAATTGGTAAGAAAGTTTGAAGCCAAATTATCATAGTTATTAGTTCTAAGAAAGTGAAGTGTAGCTAAGCCATGAACAAAAAAAAGTCAGTAAAAAACAATTATGATAACCGAATTGTAAAATAAAATATGGTATTTTTTACAGAATCATTTTATCTGAGGTGTTTCTTTTAAGATTCAAAATTAATTAATCGAATTTGAAATAATTTTGTCTGTCAAATTTTTGAGCATATTTTTTCCAATTTTAAAAGATGAAAAAAATCTAAAAAAAAAACAAAAAATATTATAAATAATATTACATAAATAAAATAAATGGCAACATCATCTTATTATTAAAGTATTTGAATCAGTTGCAATCAAATTCGAGTATACTTGTTTTATATTCGAGAGCAAGGGAAAAAAGAATAGTACCTTCAAAAAACTTGACGTTTCATTGTTAATAAATTACTGACGATTAATCGATCTATTTATACTAGTTGTAGTCAAAGTAGTTGAAGCCCCAATCGTATTATCAGGCATTACATTCGATGAATCATTGTAATTGATGGTTTCGCAAGAGTCAACAAGAGTATTTGAATCACAGCTTGTCAGGCTTCCAGACATTGTCATCTGAGAATCGGTCTGGATTTGATACGTTGCAAATGTAGAGCATGTGTTATCGGGACTCTCAGTACTCGTTACGAGTAATTCTGGTTCTAAGTTTAGATTTAATGAATCACTTGATATATCCTTGCTAATACAACCACCGTATCCAGATGATGCCACTGAAGTGGTTATTTTGATTTCGGTAGTACCACCGATTGCGCTTGATGAGCAAAGATCAAGAAGATTCTCATCGACAGAATCACTTTGTACATGTGAAGATTTATTCATTACAGCATATTGAGCATCAATTGATTCGATACTGTCGCGTTTTTCAACACGTGCACTTTGTTCGATAGAATCACACTCGGATTTTGATGTTTTGGAAGTTATTCCATCTTTGGAAATCTCGATTGAATCGATGCTGCTTGTCATTATATCGGCACTTCTACTTATTTCCAAACTATCGCTGCTACCATGTTGAGATGCATTTTTGCTGTATGTTAACTTTTTGCTTATTTGCTTTGCTTCCAAACTGTCAGTGGAAACTTCCATCTGATATGAAATATCCTCTTCTAGTTCAAATTTTAACTTTGATGCAATTGTACCTACTTTTGAACCACGATCTAATTTATTGGATTTATTTGATTCATCGGAACGTGAGAACAATAAGGCATGCTCTTCTTTGGCTTTAAGCTCCAATAAAGTAGCTTCCAAGCAAGCATTTTCCAATCCTTCAAAATCTTGTAGGCTGCATAAAGAGATTTCATCGGCTTGAGCTGTTCGCAAACCACGTTTTGGAAAACTGCCATTACTAAATGAATCATTTGAACTTGAGTGGAATTTTTTGTTTTCCAATGAAATTGCTTGTTCAAGTCTTTCAAATTCCTGCAAACTATTAACCGAAATATTATCATGGTCTTTTATTTGATAGCGTCGTGTTCCGGCTACTTCAAAATCGTTGCTAGAATATGAATCCTTGAAACTACTAATTCGACTACTGCCAATTTCAAAATCTGTATCTTCTTCTTTAATATCTTCAAGGGCACCGCGATCGATATCATAAGGATATCGTAAGTTTTGAGCTTGTTCTGCCAATTGCATTTCAATCCATTTGCGACTAGATTCAATTCCAGCGCCGTCTTCACTTGACTCAGTATTGGCACCACTCGATGGACTTTCTTCAAATTCAAATGCTAAATCATGGCGTCCTTGCAATAAAGTTGATCCTTCATTTGTTGCAGCCGGTGCTGATTTTATTATTATTCTTTCAACTTCATCATCGTGTTTCTTCACATATTGTGTCTGTTGAATTGAAACACTTTGACCTTCAGTCATAAGCTCATTGGCTTCTCTTGCAACTTCCTCGATAATTACAAACTCATCGGAAATATCTGGCTGTTCTACTAATTCAAATGAGTCACATAAATCTGAATCAACTTTTGATTCATATAGATCTTCTTGATTTTTGTATTGGCGCTCAATAAGTTTTTCATATTCTGCTTCAGAAATTCTCGTGTCCTTGCTCACAGTATCTAATTCTGATCCTGATTTATCGGTTTTTTTTTTTCTGGAACTGTTATAGGTTCCATTTTTTCAAAACATTTTGTTGGATCATCTGTTATATCTGTTATTTTTATGTTTGGTATTATTGAATAGTTATATATATTCATATTCTGTGATATTCCATGATTACGTAGTTTTTGAATATCATCTTCAGATACTTCAACAATTGTTTCAATGTTCGGAATTGATTTCTTACGTTCCGTTTGCTCTTGTTCTGGTTTTTGTGCACTTTTTGGTGACATTGCTTTCTTTTTTCGTTGAAAATTTTTACTTTCTGGTGTCTTAAATGATCTGGAATATTCAGTTTCATAGCGATCGTAATCGGAGTCTGATCCACTTTCTTTCTGTTCATCTTCCTCCCGAACATCGTGAATAATCATTTCTTCATCAAGCAAACTGTCTGTACTCTCTTGTGATAGCTTTGCAAGATCAATGCACGTACTGTCATTACGCTTGTGACCTTTGCTTCGACGTGGTGTCATATTATCAATTTCAGTTATTCTATCATTATCTGTTTCAGCATGAGGTACTTTTTCTTGAGAAGAGAAAATGTCATTCATCAAACTTGCTCTTCTTTCATAACTTCCAACAAGTGATACAGCATCATACGAAGTTGCCATATCTTCTTGAATATTTTCAATAATTGTATCGGCGTTCGATGCTGTTGAAAAACTTATCGACAAATTACTGGCATCGCCAAGGGTTGTTGAAAATTGTTGCACATTGAATTCTTCTTCACTAACTTTACGATTGGGCATATCGGTTGTGTTCGATGATTCAACATGTGCAAATATCATTTCATGTGAACGTCTCATCTGACCTGCAGATTCATCAGAATCAAGTTCAAGTGGATTTTCTGCATCCAAGATAATATCACTGACAGTATGTAAGCTCGACAATCGAAGTTCATTTTCATCAAATTCAAGGTCAATGTCAGCAGTTGATGGTACCAACGTCTCTGATGCATCCGATACTTCTATACTTCCCAAGTTACTAGAGATTTCCGAATCAAAACTTTTCATGCTTTCTTCTGAACTTATAGTTTTCCCACTGTGATCAAAAGAACTGACAGCTGTATGATATTCAGTTGAACCAGGAATAAGTGATGATGCATCCAAAGCCGTTTGATATTCTCCTGAGGAATTTGGGTATGAAACATACAAATTTTCAATGTCCGATGAACACGGACGACTATTATCGACGCTATGACTGCTCGGACTTGAATGATCTTGTTCATTTAATGACCATCGTGTTTTTGAGGCCCCCTTTGATGAACCAGTACGGTGAATGACCTCCGATTTACTGGTAGTCAAACTAGACTCATCTGTTGACTGTTTTTGACTGACTTCTCCGACTCGAGTTTCCATTTTATTACTGCATTCCTGTCTCAAAAGCATATTCATATGTGCGACTGGATATATTTTGTCTTCATCAGGATCTAATGTGTAATCAATTATATTATCTTCTGGTTTTATTATTTCAGATGTAATTTTATCAGAAAATTCATGAACAAAATTTGCTTGGAATTTTGGTTTTTGTGTGCTTTCACTCTCAATAGCTTCTACTTCTATGTATTGTTCTTGATTCAAATTTTCAACAGGAATATTAACAACGAGTGTGGTTTTTGGCTCAATAATGTCATAATGTTCCATATTACTATCAAATTCGAATTGTGACTTTTCGTTTTTTCTTCTTTCATTGCTCGCAATTTTTATCTCATCTATGTTCTGTGAAACATTGGACAAAGTATCAATTGGAGCGTGACATACTTTGACTGCTTTATCGTGAAACTGAACTTTTTCGGTGGAATCCAATATTTTTCGAGTGCTATGATCAGATTGTAATAATATTGTTTCAGCCATTTTCACAGGTTCAAATGTTTCAATTCTCTCTTCATCGATGTTTTTCTCGATTTCTTGAGATTTAGAAATTGTGCACGTTGGTGCTGTGTATTCAAATTGTTCAGCTGTCTCTTTTAATTCAATTTTCGATTGAAAATTAATTGTAGCTTGTTCAAGGCTTGTATCACAACTTTTAGAACACTCGGCTTGGTCATTTGAATTCGGCGATTCAAGAATAACATTTTCGGGTATTTCTGTTTCACACTTTTCTTCCAAAGATTTATGCATTCTAATCTGTTGTATATTATCCAATTTTCCATAAGAGGCAACACCAATTTCTTCAGGTTGTAAATTAAATCGAACTTCATACTTATAATCACTGCATTCGATTTCAGTTTTCTGGTCAAGTTTTACAACATCTTTCAACTCTTTACCATCGATATCATATGCAATAATTGGTTGTTTTTCAATCGCTGATTTTGTAATAAGATCTCCGCTTGACTCACCAATATAAAAAGCAGCTGTTTTTTTTTCATTTAATACATCTTCATCATCGTCGTCATCTAATATATTTTCGCGTTCTTTAACATTATATATAGATGCAGAATATTTTTCTGCTGAATGTAATATAATATCGTTGTGATCCGAAAGTTTTGGGCTTACATTATTCAAATGATCAGTAATTGGAACATTGTGTCGATCAATGTCCTTATTGCTCAATGATGTTTGACTAATATTTTGTTCATTTGGGGTAATGCTGGTCAATAAGTTAACTGTATCAAAATCATCATTAATGTATCGAACACCTCTGACTTGAACATGTGATTGTGAACGTGGCTTTGGTATTGGTGAAATGTTTGGATCATCTATTGAACCGGACTCAAGTGATTGCCAAAATTTTTTTGTTTCAGAAAAATCACCTGAACTTCGATCAATTGCGGTACAGGCCCTATTATCATCTTTGTCAATTTCTGAAGTATGCACATCATCAACTGTTTCTGAAGCAATAGCATCATAGTTATTAGGGTTGAACGAACGAGGTGTTGGTTTTGGAGTAATTAGACTTCTTAGACTTCTTGAATCTAAAAATTTGAAGTGAATGGAAATACCAAATTTTATGATTTTCATCTGAATTCACCCGCATCATTTCAAAAAAAATCATCTTGTGGGAATCTAGCTTTTCAAAAGTATTTCAGGATATTTGGATTGTGTGTAATTTGCATGTAAAATTGTACCTTTACAAGTTGATATAATTGAAATTACTGAAAATTGATTATTTAGTGGAAAATTGTAGTTCTTAAAAGTAAACCTTTGAAAATATTGATTTACACAAGCTATTTTTATACAAATTTACATTTGAAAAAACAGTTGATATTAAATGAATATGTCCCTATTTAACAAATCATTTGATTTTTAAGTAATTACTTTCAAGAGAAAATGACTTAATACACAGAATGAATTCACTCATTCTCTCTAATTTATTTATTCTTATATTTAGTGCACGATAAATGTTCATGTTTTGATCCATTATTTAACTATCATCCATAATAAGTTGATTATATAGAATTTGAAATATTTACGGTGCCGAGTAGGTACTTGGTATTTCAAAATTATATTCTCTCAATGTACTTATTGGAACAACATTTTCTAATTTTTAAATAAGAAATTAGAATAAAAGATTTGTTGTTTTATAACCATTTGGTTTCAACAAAAATATTATAATATTCAAAACATTTCCTATTCATTCCAGCTTAGCTTTTTTTATTTTCAGAAGAATTTTAGTTGACTTACGAAGAACTTGTGTTTTTCTTACCGTAATCTAGTTACATTTGAAAACTAAATTACATTCATTGAAAAAGTTTTCTGTTGTCAATTCTACAAGCAAACAGAATTGAAATAAGCGAAATTAGAAAGATGACAGTATATTGTTCTTAAAAAGCAATACCAAACCATTCGTATGCAAGAGGAACAAACCATTGAAGCATGCTGTGTGTGAGTGTTGGAAAAGTGTGAGGATTTATGACATGTAGCATATTTGTACAAAATGCAAATAGGCACATTCATTATATAAGTAAGCGTTGCAGGACGAATTTTCTTATTATTTTAATTTTACTTTGATATCAAAAATGTAAAATTTTGCAAGTTTTTAATGAAAATATCATCACATAAAAGAAGGTACTTGTCACTAACAAGAATTTAATGAATTCACTTCAATATGCTTATTATTTTATTTTGAACAATTTTTTAATTGTTAAAAAAGTCGAATATAGACATTTTATACTTTTGAACTGAATCCATAAAAATTCTCTATCGTTGCATTGGATTTGTTAATTCACCTTTTAGAGTATGATGTATAGTGAAAACTGCGCATTTCGGATAGAAGCTTTATCATCGATTATTCTTTGTTGATTGAAATTAGCAAAATCTCGTCTCATCTATAGAAGAAATGAATTTTGTTAACAGCGTGACGCATGTTGTTTTTTTTTTAAATAGATGGATTTTTCATGACTAGACATTTACTTACAAAAATAACACTTGGAACAAAACGAAAGAAGCGAATAAAAACCAACTACATTCATTTTTTTCGAATCATCATATATAAAATTAAGATCAAATGCAATCCCAACGATTCTTTTACTCAGTTATTTTCTTCCCATTTATTCAAAGTGTATACGGTTATATTTTATAATTTAAGTATTGCATCGTTTGGATGTTGTAATTAATTTCTTGTGTTATGATCATTTGATTGGTCATATAACGTTTGATTGAAACTCAGACCTTCGTTCAGCGGATTGTTTTCATCCGGACCGCTAAGATTATCGTCAAAAGATTTTCCCGACATTGATTCGATAGTCGGTGATTTAATTAGATCAGCACCATGCGGATCGCATTTGATAGCAAAATTTTCACTTTCTGAATTCAAAGTATTTGATGAATGTTGTTGGGAATTAATAAAGAAAATACTCCGGTCAAGTATATTATCAACCAATTGTATAGCTTCCGAACGAACTAATTTCAAATAGTCGTTTGTTCCTGTTTTGTATAATAAAATCGTAATAAATTATTTGTGGATATTGATATATTTGATTGCTTTACAATAATCTTTTTTTGTTAGTATTGTAATGATTTTGAAGACAACTTAAATTAAAGAAACGATGATAGAAACTAAAATATCTAAGCTTTATCTTACTAGCACATTATCGAAAAGTTTGATAAAGACTATACAAATAACGAATCTTCAATTTTATACGATCTTTTTTCTTCAATTTTGAGCAATTTTAATTAATACAAAGAAAGTTTTAGGAATTTTGGAGTGGTATTTCTTTAGTTTGTTTGTTTTTTGTGATAGAATGTTTCTTTTGAAATAAAAATAATGAAAAATGAAATTTGTCCACTGTGGTGAAATAAAAAAAATTTTCATGACGTTCAAATATTAGATTTATTTACTATATAATATTAACTGACACATTATTTAGTGCGATACAATATAATTGTTATAGTTGTAATATGGATACTATGGACTCAACAGAACCCTAGACTTTGCAACTTATGAGCATCAAATAAGTGTAAAAACCAAAAAACACATGACAAATCTTAATTTTTTTTAAATCACACACAGCATTTATCATGGTTATACTGCATAATGAAATGAATGATTGGATTCGTAAAAGATTTGATTATTCAACTTGATAAAATGGAGCAAATGTTTTCAGCTGAACGATTCTTCTGATTTAAAATTGGAATTAAAAGAAATGAATTCCACATTGAAGCATTCAGATCAAATTTCTTGAATTTTGATATCAGTTAGATACTAATACAGTGTGTATTAAATACCAATGGCTGTATGAAATGATGATTATATTAATAAATTAAAAGTTATCTGAAAATGGTTTACTTACCATTTGTGCTACTCGCATCATTCAAGTCATCTTCAAGTTTTTGTGGGGATTCTACACCTGAAAGTAATTAAAATAAATAATTATTTTCATAGTTTTCAAAAATTAAAAAAAATAAATATCACAACCCAAGATATCAAGGTAACATATTCATACATTATTAAGGTAATATGACTGCTTGCAGCCGCTAGGAATATATTATTTAAATATGAATACGATACGACATTTTTAATTGTATAATTTAAATGGATATTATTGGTATAATAGTTTTTGTTGTTTTTCTGTTGAATTTGGCTTCAACTATTAAAAAAAAAACAATAAACATTAAAAAGAGAAACACATGTTTTAAATGTATATTTGAGATAAAGATGTATTACTCTAAACATTCAATATCAGTGAGACTGTCACGAATATCTTCAAAGCCTTTGATGTGATCGGCTTCGTTAGATGTGTCAAATTCGTTTTTAGTTTGATCATGTACAGAAAATGATACGCTCTCATTAAATGCAGTACGTAACAAATTTGGCGTTGTACCACGTGATTGTGAATCAACATCCAGGAAATCGTCTCCTTCGGTTTGTTCCAATTCTTCCACGTCTGTGTATGACATATCAGCAGAGGATTCTTGCTTCTCCTCACAAGTTTTGATGGTTGTTGAAATTTTTGAATGGCCATGTTGTGAAAGTGGTTTACCCTGTCCACCATCTGTCGATGTAATCGTTGAAAAGAAAGCTTCTTGTTGTAGAACATGTACATCAATTTCATTATTACATTTCTTAATGGTATTCTCATCGCCTGAAAACTCTTCAGTATCAGTGTAAGCATCTTCATGATTTCTTTGCTCATGTACAATGATGCGATTCAAATCAGTTTCAATATCACTTAAATAAAGCTCTTCATTCTCTGTAACATCCCCACATTCATCTCCATTAACATCTAGGAGACCTCCTTTGGTTTTCAATGATTTTTTCAATCGTTTGCGTCGCAAATATCTTTCACTACTCACACGAATCTCTTCAATATCTGTCAATTGTTCATGCTCAGCAGATTTTTGGTTACGACTGAATGACGTTAAACCTTCAGCAGAACTTACAATTCCACCATCCATATTTGGTATTTCAACTATTTCATAATTAACATCATCATCGTAATCTTCTTCATTCCCACTCATATCTTCTGTGTCAGTTAAACCTTTATATTCGAAGGAGAAGAATAAAAATCGAAATGATTAATATAATAATTCAACAATCAGTGCTTTCAACGAACACAAACGAACGAACGGATCATTCGTTCATAGAATTTTGTGTTCGTTTGTGGGAACTGTTTGGATGTTTGTTCATAGAAAATGAAATGTTTTCCATGTTTGTTCGTATAACGGAACACGTTCGAGAGCTCAGATGTTCAAAATATGTTTGTTTGAAATTTAAATATTTAATTAAGGGTAACAAACGAACAAACGGACATTCGTTGACAGCTCTGAATTTTTTTTCATTTGGTCGTTTTGAAAATTGGTGATGGGTGTTTTTTAGTTACGAGAATTCTAATTTATAATTACGTAGAATTATTTGTTTGATAAAGTTCATTGGAAATATAAAAAATATTCATTTAAAATTTATGGAAAAAAGCACAATCCAATATTTAGTGATTAATTAGTGAAAATATGTGACGCTATTTCTAGAAAAGTTTGAATGAAAGTAAAAAGTGAAAATCTAATCAACCAAAATTTATGATTTTCACACAAAAGGTCGATCGTCAAAGAAATATGGGAAAATAAAATGGAGTCATGACCAAAATGACTCACAAAAATGTTTACAATCGGATTTGTGATAACAATTTCCATCGAAAAATGGAAACTCAATAGATATTATTAAACGGCAAAAGAAACATTATTATCATAAATTCATGAAACACTCAATTCAAGCTATTTGCTCTTGTTTTATTGCTAAATTAATATTTGATTTATTCATTTAAGATAAGAATAGTTAATTTTGATTTCTTGAACTGACCTTTTTCGACATAATCTTCTCGTATTCCTAAAAAGGATCTATTCGCACTAAGCACCAAAGGCATTACTTTGGCAACAGGATCACCATGTTGATCTTCTCTCATTACTGTTATTTCACGAACTGGCGATGGTAGTTTGATATCATTTGAAGTGGTTGCAATGCAATCATCGTCAACATCAAAATCTTCAACATCAGTATATGGTTTACTCGAAGTGTTCACATATGCTATAGGGATTATCATATTCTTCTTCAGGTTAAAGCCCTCATCATCGGATGAGTCTATGTTTTCCACATCAGTCACAGCTTCATCCGGAATTGGTTGTACAGACAATGAATTTCTATTTTTTTGTCTATTGCTACTGAAACGCAATTTTTTTGTTCTATTGCTTTTGAATTCAACACATATTTCTGGTATTGCTTCACTTTTAAAGAATGCATCATCATTATCGCTAGCCTCTAAAATTATTTCTTCCGCATCAAATGCGTTGGCACATTGATTTATATGATCGGGGAATGTGTTTTGATCTTCTTGATCCGAAAATGCAATGTTTTCAACGTCCGACGTTTCTTCCCAATTTCTCCTATGAAAATTGCTATCGGAACCATCCACATTTGACATACCATTCATGAATATATTTTTATTATGGACATATTTGGAATTCTCAACATGAAACGACCCGAAGTCGTCATTTTCTATCAAAAAATTATCAAATTTGAAATCATTTGGGATTTCTTCAATAATTAGTTCATTATCGGATGTATTCAAGTCTTCACAATCAGTAACAGCACCATCGTCTTCTTTTGGTACATTCAAACGGGAATGTTTGGTTCTCCGGCTGTGTTTTATCTTATCGTTATCACCGCAGACTGTCTCTTCAATAAATCCTTGATCCAAAAATTCATTCAAACTTAAATGTTCCTCAAAATCTTGCATCAAATCTACTGAATCATTTGAACCGGAGTCTTGGCAATCCTCAATATCAGTTGCACTATAATCTTTGTTTTTCGGTTTAACTTTTTTAAGTGTTTTCAATAGTTGACTTGATGGTAATTGGTTTTTTTTTTCATCGCTATCCAACTCTTCAACATCGGTGAGTATATCTTCAATATTTCCTGCATATTCACTATCGATATCTTCGTCATCCGTGAAATCTTGAGTGATTGAGATCTTTGGTATTTCATTCATATTTGAAGTTCGAGTGGTTGATTAGACAGAGTGAATCGTTTCTTCTTAGACGAAAATAATAAAATAATAATTTATTCATTATCAAATACAGTAAAATCGGTTAGGTGAAAATCCTCGTACAAACTAATTACAAGCAAAATATTTCGGGTAACCATGAGTGTAAAACTGCACTTTTTTCTAAACAAACTATTTGCACATAAGTTAGTGTACTTTGCCAGTATATAAGGCTTCTTTTTTGTCACTATTTACGCTCAATTCCTTTTAAATAGAATAAGCAAGATAAAACAACATATTTGCAGAAATATCAAGATGATCAAATGATGTTTTCTCTATGTCAAAAAAATTATTGTAAATATCGTCTCAATTTTTTCAAAGTAACAGGTAAATTTATGACTTTGCATTTCTGATTTATGTGGATATATATTCATGTCCGAGAAGATCACATTTTTATGTAAGTTTTGCTGACAAACAATCACAAATGAGGAAGAGATTAAAATAAATCAGTTGCAAAAAGAAGCAGTAAAATTATGCAAATGAAAATAAATGCCTCTCAAGATACTTATGATAAGAATTGAAAATTAACAAACACACAGGCTTTAAGGAATATTTCTCATTAACTGAATTAGGAATTTATGTACTTTATGTTACATATATAGAGTTTTTTTAAGTGTTTAAAGATGAAACTCACTATTTCACCATGTGTTTATTACTATACAATCGATATTTAATTCCAAAACGATTTCTTTATGATTTATAACGTTTAAAACTAATCTGTGTGATCGAGCATAATTTTGCCAAAAATCTGGCAAAATTAACTTTTTCATCGAAGCAAAAATATATCTCGTTTTTTTACTTGAGCGTTTTTTTTAATACAGTTTGTTAAAAAGTATCAATATCATATAAATAACACTTGTGACAAGTACAATCAGAGAAAAATCATGATTTTTTTCTTATTATCCGAGCATCTGCATTCTGCATAGGTTAATGAATTAATGATTTCAAAATCATAGTGAACTGGATTCACTGATTGATCATGTTCGAATTGAACGATACACTACTGGGTTGGAAAAACTACACGATTTTAAAAGAAATGTAATTTACGTAGAATATGTATAGTGTATACTCTACGTTTTCTACAATACATTGTAGATTATTCAAAAATTCAAAATAAGAGACAAATTGCCACTCAAAACATTGTCTGACGTTGGTGAATGAATGAAATGTGTTTCTATTGAAAAGGTTTGTTATGTTAAATGTCCAATAGACAAATTTTCAATAAAAATTCTATACAATTTTCGGTATTTTGAAACAATTTCTGGTGATTTTAATATATTTGTTTGCCAAAATTGAATAAAATACAAATGTTGTAGATTACATGGGAAAAAATATGTAAATTAGATGGTAGTAATCTAAATTTACAAAATGTAGATTATGTATCAAAGTAATCTACATACCAACCCAGATACACTATGTCACTGGTCTTGCGGCGAATCTCTATTACTCAAAGTTATTCTGTTTTTGTATTTTAAACTTCCATAATTTCAAATATTAGTAAAAAAATCGGTACATTTTGAATATAGGAAGATATATCGTTTTGGAATTATTACGTGTTTTAAAATAATTTGTTCTTTCCAATTTTGATAACTTATACAGAATTTACCTGTAAATGAAACAATCTGGTGATCATTTTTTAGTTTTTGATGAAGTTTTGATATTGCGCTGAGGTCAAGATTTGGTGATGAATGGTTTTCGACTATAATCATACTGTCATTGACTGACACAGAGGGTGATGCCGTTGGTGATATATCCGAAATTTTGTAACTACCAAAATGACCGACTAATCCCTTTTGTTGGTTTTGTGTATATTGACGAGTGTGATGACGAACAGATTTTACTCCTTGTATTGAGACGAATTGACTCTCTGGATTTTGATTTTCCGAAGTAGAAGAAGAAGGCAATGCTACTGAATCCGATAAACTGGAATCGGTTGTATCAATGAATCCAGCCTCAAGTTCACGGTAGCGCCGATTATTGTCGCCATTGCTTGATCGGCGATTGTAGATCATTTCTATCGAAGAAGAATTCACCGTTCGCATAAAAACTTCACTGGTGAATTGTTTATTGCGTTCGGATTTTTTGGATTTGATCAAACGATTTGGACTGGAAGGAACCGAACTAGATTGATCCTGTGTTAATTCAACAGCTATTGTATAATCTAAGTTGCTATATTGTAACGCTGATTTACAACGAAATATTTCATCCGCATCGGTATTTGCATAAATGATGTCAAATGTGTGCTTTTTTTGTATCTTGGCTTCTTCTTTTGATTCTGTCTTTTGTGTGGGTTGTATTTGTTCATGTTTCATGTCTTTCGTATCAATTTTGTCCATGTCTAATGTCATTTTGCTTTGTTCAACTCTTTTCATTTGCACTTTTGCAGTTTTTAAAGGGGCCTTTATTGATTTTTCAATTCTTTTATTAAGTTTTGATGTATTAGGTTTATATTTAGATTTTTTCAAATTCTCAGTCGCATTTTTTTTTATTTGAGTATATTGTCCTCGTTTATCATGATTTACTTTATTTGTGTTTGAAGTGCTGTACATTTCTTCATCTGAACTTATAATACATTTGGATGAAACTTTTTGAGTTGAAGAAGATTTATCTTTATTTTTTCTAGAATCGAAATTACTTTTGAAAATTGGATTCGATTTTGATTTTTCAGTAGCTTTTGATTGACCAGTGTTCATGGCATTCATTTCGTTATCCATACAAGTGCTTATATTGAATTTACTTGAACTTCCCCCGAATCCATGTATGTAATCTGGTGTCAAAATATTTATATCATCTTTTTGTAAAGAATTTGTTTTGCCAATTTTCTGATCTCGTGACAAAGTTGATTGCACTTTGTTGGAAACTTTTATTATTGAATTCGGCTTTGGCATTATGGTTGTTTTTCCATTATTTATGTTAATATCAAATTTTGCCTGTGTTTTTGATATTGGTGAAACGCACGAAAATGTTGTCTCAGTTTCTGATTTTTTCATAAGATTTTGTCGTTTTGAACCCGACTCATTCCATGAACTTGCATTTGTTTTTGTTTTTTCTTCAGTTCGAAATTCCAATCGATTTTCCTTGCTTTCATTTTTTTTTATACTCTTATCATCAAATATCATTTTATTTTCAGAATTGATTTTATAGGAATTCATTACGTTAGGCTCATCATATGAAACATTGTCATCCGATATATCTGTTGGAACAGTCCTAACGGAGATTTCATTTCCGGAAGAAGTTGAAGAAATAATTCTGTCAAATTTACTAGAGTTCCATTCATACAACTTATTCGGAAAATTACTAATAGAATGACTATTTACACGGATATCGTATCCAGGTTCTATATTTTCTGATATATCCATTTTCAAATTAGTGTTTTCAAGAACAATATTGTTTCCATTCTGTAAAGAGGTTTGTGTATTAGATGTATCTTCAAATGATTTTTTTTCAACTGAAAAATTCTCGCGAATCTTGTATACTTTTGTTGTATTATCATTTATGGATATAGGGCTTTGAACTTCATCTGTGTCACTTGACTTAACTGATCGAACTTCTAATTTTTGTTTGATTTGACCATTTGAATGAGAGTATTTTTCATTACTGAGTTTCATCAAAAATTCACTTCGTTCATCACTTAGCTCCAATTCTGTATTTTCTGTGAACTGACTGAAAGCACTTTCATTTTGATCATTCAGTAAACTTGAATGAAGGATTGGATGATTTTCCATATTTGTATCTTCAGAACCAAAAAAGGAAGATTTTAGGTTTTTAATTTTCAGAATGTTTGATTTTGTATCAAGACATAAATGTGAAGAAATAGATTTGTTATCAATCGGTTCAGTTTTTTTTGATAACTTTTGATTACCAGAAGAAGAATCTTCTAGTCTGAATGTATTTTCAAATGGATAACCCAATTTTTCGAAGATATACTTTATGCACTCAGTAGTATCTTCCGATTTTAATTTAATATTGGTTGGACGAGAGATTCTTTTCTTCAAATCTTCGAAGTTATTTTCAATTCCTGCAGTTGCATTTTCAGAGTCCTCAAAGGAAAACTTTTTTTTAGCCAACGACTCTTCAGACTTTTCTGGATCCTGCCCATGGTTTGACCTCCAACTATTCACATCGTCATCAACAGAATATTCGAAACAAGGCATTATTTGTTTTGTGTCATATTTTTCAATAGATAACTTGTCTTCTGCTTCAACTGATGGATCATCAAAGTCCTTAGCTTCTAAATCTCTTGCAATAGTTGATTTCGAAACAGAGGACGATTTTAATAGATGCTTATTAACAGAAGATTCGAAACAAGGCATTATTTGATTTTTTTCATCTTTTCCAATATATAACTTGTCTCCTGCCTCAACTAATGATTTATCAAAGTCCATTGCTTCTAAATTTTTTGCAATAGTTGATTTCGAAACAGAGGACGATTTTAATAGATGCTCATTAACAGAAGATTCGAAACAAGGCATTATTTGATTTTTGTCATCTTTTCCAATATATAACTTGTCTTCTGCTTTAACTAATGATTTATCAAAGTCCTTAGCTTCTAAATCTTTTGCAATAATTGATTTCGAAAGAGAGGTCGATTTTAGCACATGCTCATCAACAGAAGATTCGAAACAAGGCAATATTTGTTTTTTGTCATTTTTTCCAAAATATAACTTGTCTTCTGCTCCAACTAATGATTTATCAAAGTCCTTAGCTTCTAAATCTTTTGCAATAATTGATTTTGAAAGAGAGGGTGATTTTAGCACATGCTCATCACCAGAAGATTCGAAACAAGGCATTGTTTGTTTTTTGTCATCTTTTCCAAAATATAACTTGTCTTCTGCTCCA